ATGAGGATGATAATGGTGATGATGATGGTGATGAGGTGATGATGAAAATGGTGTCCCGATGATGATGATGATGATGATGATGATGATGATGATGATGATGATGATGATGATGATGATGATGATGATGATGATGATGATGATGATGATGATGATTGATGATGATGATGATGATGATGATGATGATGATGATGATGATGATGATGATGATGATGATGATGATGATGATGATGATGATGATGATGATGATGATGATCGTTGGGCTACCGTGGGTGCCCCCTCGGGGTCTTGTTGGAGGTAGTTTCTTGGCCTCTTGGGGGCTGGTGGCCTCGTGGAGTCCTCTTTGGGGACTCTTGGGGCTCCTTGGAGGCCTCTTCGGACGGAAGCCACATGTCGGTTCGTGTTACCCTCTGTTGAAATCGACACTGTCATCCCCGTTCCGTGCTGTGTTATACTGCTCTCCCCTCTCGTGCTCGACCGCAACCGTTTTGGTTTGCAGAGCTCTTGAGTTTACGGTCCCAATTTCCCGACGGCGCTCGTGGTCGCCTCGCGGGCGCTCCTCGCGGCGCCCCGTGCTCTTGGCGGCGCCGCCGAGCGGACACAGCGTGGCAGACAGCTCGCATCGCATAGCTTACGCGGCATAGCTGTCTCAACAGAGCTAGCGCCACATGGGTCTCACCGCAGGGCTGGCACAACACGGCTTACACCACATAGTTTACGCAGCATGGCTCACACACAGTGGCACACACACCGCATGTTTGCGCACACGGCATGACTTACACCACATGACTTACCCCGCATAGTTTTCACATCCACACCCCAATAACTGACGCTTCTGGGGTACACGCTTGCTAACATGTAAGTCCTAGTTTTTTCCTCGTGGCAGGCTTGTTTGCTTGTTCAATGTTTGCTGACCAATCGGAATGTTATGTATTTCGTGCGATCTACAGTTTATCAATTGTACGCATGGCGTCGCTCGGCTTAGGGATGCCAGCGATGCGTCGTGGTGTGTGCGTCGGTGCCCGCCAGGCTGTGGCGCGAGCCCGCGCCCGTCATGGTGAGGACCGCGACCTGAATCTGAAGAGGAAGGAGGCGTCCAAGCGGGCCGAGCGGGAAGGGAAAAAGCTGCACGCGCTCTCTTCCCTCGACTGCACGTAAGGCTGACCCTTCGCCAGAGTGACTTTTGGTGCGGGCCCACAGGAAGGCGCAGAGGTGCTATGTCGAGGGCCTATCGCCGACGTATCGCCGATTCCAGGTCGATGTTTCCCTCCGTGAGCCAGGCCTCTAACGTTTCCCCTCCCCCTCCCCCTTCCTTGACCTTCAATCGAGAAGGTATTTGATTCTCCCATGCTGTCAAGGCCAGGGCGACTTCACCATCAGGGGACGTGTGGGTCGTCCGCACCCATCAGCATCAGCCTTGGGCTTTTCGTGTGCAATTGTGTTGCGGCTGGTCTGCGCTTTCCGCTTCCCGCAGGTATGTCCAGCTGCCTGCGGCAAGTCCCGCCACCGGCCAGCCCACCATTCTTGGCGGCGACTGCTTGAGGGTGGGGGAGCCGTGGTGATGATGATGATGATGATGATGATGATGATGATGAGGATGAGGATGAGGATGAGGATGAGGATGAGGATGAGGATGATGATGATGATAATGATAAGATGCTGATGATGATGCTGATGCTGATGCTGATGCTGTTGATGATGATGCTTATGATGACGGTTGTGATGAGGACGATTGTAACACTGAGATTTCTGACTGCGGTGATACTTGTGAAACTGGTGATGGTAAGGATGATGATTATGATGATGATGGTGATAATGACGATGATGATGCTGATGATGATTATGATGATGATGCGCATGATGGCGATTACTCTGATGATGATGAGGATGGTGATGGTGATGAAGATGATGATGATGATGATGATGATGATGATGATGATGATGATGATGATGGTGCTGATGCTGCTGCTGATGATGATGCTGATGCTGCTGATGAGGATGATGTCGAAGCTGATGCTGCTGATGATACTGATGCTGATGCTGATGATGATGATGATGCTGATGCTGATGATGATGACCATGAGGGGGATCAGGATAAGGACGGTGATAATGACGAAGGTGATGATAATATAGTTCTGCTGCTGTTGCTGATACGGGTGAATATGATGATGAGTATGAGTATAGGTTGGATGGTGGTGGTGATGATGATGAGGAGGTCGAGGCGGATGATGATGATGATGATGATGATGATGATGATGATGATGATGATGATGATGATGATTCTGTTGTTGATGATGATGAT